CATTATCATTTTGGACAAGGCCATTTTATTCTAGCTTTCCACTTTTGACATTCTCTGGTTTCAGGTGATTTTTCCTTTGTCAGGGTCATACATATCTATCTTTTATGTGAGCTGCTTGATCCCTGTTACACTTGTTACAGTCATTTCTTTACATTCTTTTCATCAACAAGAGGAGGTTTTGAGATGCTTTTTTCCTTCTTAAGCCCATTTGTCATTTTTAGTTTCTGACGACTCAATCTAGCTTCCTTTTTCTCCAAACTTTTTGAAGTCTATTTTTCTTCAAAAGCCAGGAGGAAATAATTCTATGTAGGTCTGGGATTTACTTCTTTGTGTATTACAGATTCAATTTTACATTGTCATTTTCTCTCAAGATTCCTATCATTTCTTCTTTACCAAACGGTTTATCCTTATTAGCTGGGAATTTAGAATTGTGGTTTTTGTCAGAGTTTTATTCTGGAAGATAGGACTTGTCAGAAGGCAATACAGAATTTATCAGCAGGTATGATGAATAGAAATCGTTCAAATAATTTGCACCTCTCATAACATCACTCTCTTATTTCCAAGCTACTTTTATCATTTAAAAAAATAAAAGAAAAAGAAAGAAAAGAAAGTCATGTTTGGTTGGGTGAAGAGTGATTAAATGGCTGCCAGTGTGATATCTTTCTTTTTGAGCTTGCAGTAGTCTTCAACATATTTTGTCTCTGGTAGTAGCCTTCCAGGCATATGTGTACTTTTTCTTGACAGAGCATGTTGTTTGGTCATCTTATTTTCACTAGATACTGTAGAAAAAGTATTTTCTCATATATTTTTGTATTTGTTGTTTATCCCTTAGCATGAAGCTTAAGAAATTGTAGCTGTCTTACTTCTTTTGGATTTTTAAAAAAAAATCTCCATTGGATTTTTTTGAAAATATTTTACATGCTGACCTCTCCCTTTCTCCACATTCCCCCTTCTTCTTACCTATTTCTGGGTTAAAGTAGCATCCAGAGCATCTTTGCCTCTAACTTGCAGCATTTTCTGTTACTGCTCATTGCCTCCCTTTTCTCCTTTTTTAGTTTTTCATGACTTTTTTTGTTATTGTTTTGCTATTTTGGGGTAATTTCATATTGCTCATGATTCTAGACTTTATTGCTTGTTGTCTGCTTTTGCGTTTCTTGGCAAAGGAAAAATGTTCCTCCTAAACTTTTTTGAAAGTTAAAATGACCCAGGGAAAAAAAAATCCAGATTCTAGTCCCCTCATCCCCAGCACACACATTGTACCACAGAAAGAGTTTTGCAAATGTGCACCATTTTATTGCTAGCATGCTTTTAGGCTTGCTAGTAAAAAACAACTTTTGTGACTGTAAAGATAGAGATATTAACTAAAATTTAATAAATATAGGGGTATAATTACAGCTTTGGTCTTCTCTTACCTGAGATATAAATAATATTTGCCAAGTACATACAAAAACAGTGCCACTGAAGGATGAATACTTACCTTTTTCTGAGCTTTAAAATAATTTTTCCCCAGAATTACTAAGTAGGGAGAGTGGAGAGCAGAGAGAATAACCTTTTAAAACAAAGTTCAAATCAATAACGATTAACATTTCCTAGCCTCTATTTTCCTGCTAATGACCGAAGACAAGTACCAATTAGAGAAGCCGGAAATGTCTGGATTTCTAGTTGTACCAGATGGTACTGTGTGAGAACTATTCATGGTGCCAGAGAAAAGTCTGGCTGTTCCTAGCTACCTTTCCTCTGTCTCGATCCTGACTGAGGACACTTATATTTCCTTGTCCTTTATTCTCTTTGTTATTTCTAATGTCAGGAGATATATTATCTGTCATCCTTGCTGAGGACTCCTGTGATATTTTATTTTGAAACAGGGTCTCTCTACATAGTTCAGATTGGTCTTGATCATACTGTGTAGCCGGGCTGGCCTCAAACTCATGGAAATTCTCCTGCCTCGGCCTCTGTATTAATGGCATTACAGGTGCCACCGTGCCTGGTGTGCTGCGTTTATAGGCATGCATCATCACTCCTGGCCTTCTTGGTATCTTTTAAGTTCATTTATAAATTATCTGAAAGTATCTTTTGGTTTATACTTAAGATATTTTCTTGCTTTGTTAACCCTGGTATCTAACTCTGAGGAAGCTTTGATTTTTTAAATTGACATTTATAAAACTGTTTTGACAAGTGCTTCTTATGCATTTTTTACAGTATAAACATCATTCATGTTATAATGACAAAGCATGAAAGTGATTATGTTTAACCCAATTTTTGCTTTTTTTGAAAGAAGGATGTATTACATTTGATGTGAAATTTATGATGTAACTAAATGCCTTGACTTGTTACTTCTTGAAGAAACTTTCTGTGGTAGAAACAAACAGACAAAAAAGAATGAGGCTGATTACTATCAACATTTCCAGTTTAAGTAAAGACAATATCTTTAAGTAAAGAACATCTTATTCTATGTATTGGGATCAAACTCACTACCTTGCTCTTGCCAGGAAGACACTGTGCTGCTGACCTGTAAAATACCTGACACCCAAAGTTAAAAGAGGAAAGGTTTATTTTGGGTCACAGTTTGCAGAAGTATTATAGTCAGTTGGCTCCAAAGCAGGGCAGCATGGCAGAGGGACCGTCCATGGCAAGGGAGAAAGTAAGGGAGTGAGCCTCCCATTTCCTTTTTATTCCATTCAGGTTACAAACCTATTTATTGATTGGTGTCACCCACACCCAGGGTGGGCCTTCTGGAATGTGCTAGACCAATCAGTGAACTAATTTAATTATCACACACCCTTAATCCATATTCACACACCCTAGAGGAAGCCACCTCCGAAATGCCTTACCTATGAGTCCATGAAGCTTTGGGGAGAATATCTAGACACAAGCCATGACACCCCCTCTTCTTTTCCTTTTCCTTACACTGCTTTCTTTCCAGTTTCTTCCTTGCTCCTACTGAGGGGTAAGGCAGCAGGATGTATTAGGGTGTTACTACAATAATTCAGCAAGGGATCTAAAGATCTGACTTTCTGGAGCAGTATTAAGCCTGCAAAGTTGTTTGCATGATTATCTGCAAACACATAGGCTGAAAAGGTTTCCATAATTTATTTCATAATGTTTTAACTGCTTTTAGTGTTTAGAGACTGTAGCTTTTCTTGAATTCTCTATTTTCTTTTTAACTTTAGCTTTGGTACATGTCTAATTGCAAAAATCATCATGTGCTTTATTTCCTAGTTTTGGAGGCCATTATTTAAAAAAAAATAACATTTATGAGAATTTGGTGCTATAGTTCAGTGGTCGAGTATGTACTTTTCTTGTCTGCATTCAATCCCCAAAATCTCCTTTAAGGAAATAAAAATAACTCGTATTATACCCAGATCTAGTAATTAGCATTGCAATGTGTTTTAACTTTTAATAGGTATTGAAATAATTATGTTCTGTTTGACCAGTGCTCATATGCTGACATTTTACACTTCAATGTGTATAATTAATGTATGTTAATCAAAAAAGCAAAAAAAAAAAAAAAGAAAAAACAATTTTGATGAAATATCTATCTATAGATATTTATGTAATATCATGTATAAATGTTAGTAAGCTTATTCAGAATTCGTATTTTATGAAATATTAAAGTATGGAATCCAGTTTTTTAAAAAGAATTCTAAAATAGAAAAAATAAATTTGTAGAAATGTTCTTCGTGTATAGATTAGTTTCATTTAAGCAAATGATTATTTGTTTTGGGTGTTATCTTTTAGTCACTATAACAAAATGCCCAAAATAATTATAAAGAAAAAAAGGTTGTTTTGGCTCATGGTTTTAGTGATTCCAGTGCATAAACAGGCAGATCCATTGCATTTAGGCCTCCTGTGGGGGTTCTGGATGGGAAAAATCAGGAATGTTTGATGGAACAGCTTACCATCTGAGTAGGAAGAGGGCAACAGAGACAAAGTGAACCGAATCCCATAATCCTTTTCAGAACCGTAGCTCCACAGACCTAAGACCTCTCAGAAGGCCTGCCCTCTTAAGAGTTCCACTACTGGGGCTGGGGATTTAGCTCAGCGGCATAAGCACCTTCCTTGAAAGCAGGCAGTTATTGAGTTTGATCCCTGGTACTGGTAAAAACGAAAAAGCAAAAAAAAAAAAGAGTTCTACTACTTCACCATCCCAGAAATCAAGCACCACCCTGTGACATGCATTTGTCATCAGAAAGCTGATTCTTGACTATAGCAATGTTGACATTAGGTTTTGTTTTGCATTGGTTCTTATTATTGTGAATGTTTTTATGTTGATGCAAAAAAGCCAATTTTTACAAAAGTTTTCAAATAGTAAATTGATTTGAGGTATTTCATGTTACTGCAAAGTACCCTTATGCTCTGTGAATGACTTTAATTCTAATTAACTTGAGCACTTCAAGTTATTAGTTAATATTTTCTTCTTGAAATTTCTGTATTAAGATTAATTAGCCATCTTTTAGTAAAATTATTCCAGTCATTGCAGTTTTATCACGATCCTAGGAAACTAACAACGGGAATAATTAAAAACTGTTGCAAATGGCATTTGTATCTATATTTAAAATGCTCTTCAATTGATCAAGCAGATGTTTTTACAGATTTTTGTCTTTGCTGTAATAAATTTCCCATTAATTTTGAAAATCTGTGTTTAAGGAGTGTGCTTTCAAGTTTCACATAGCTGAGCTGCAATTTGTGAAAGTTCAAGCAGCTGTACCACCAACCATTTGATAAATTTTTAACTAAAGCTCTTTTAGGAAGAGACTAAGTTCTAGAACTTTATGTTCTGCAATCAGACATGTGTACCTACATTTCTTCTCTTTTGTGGGTTTGAAAAGTATGATATACATTACATAAACACATCTGCATATATGGAAACATATACATATTCTCATATGTATTTTACATTGTATATCTAACCTAAGTTGGCAGTGAAGATACATACACTTTTTAAAAAATGAAAAATTTATTTTAAGCTATAATTATCTAAAGTTTTCTCTTTTGTCTAGGTTGAAGAAATTGTGGATATTGGGTCATTTGCTCCCGAAGATATCCATATTCCTAAGATTTATGTACACCGCCTTATAAAGGGAGAAAAATATGAGAAAAGAATTGAGGTAATTTATTTAACTTTTCTGTTCATATCTATAGATATCACCAGAGATATATGTCCTTGAGGCCATTCCAGATGATGAGATTGGAGCTAAGCAGGAATTCTTACCTTGAATCTAGGAAGGAGCTTCTCATGTGGCTGTCATAAAGGAACATGATTGTGTTATTGTCAAGTCCAGCAGTACCTTGTGTTAACAAGGTGCATATGTCCATATCCTGTAATTCTCTAGCCTGAGTTTATCAGGTTTCTGTAATGGTTTGAGTTTACCATGCATGATTTTGACTGACATGCTAATTAGGTCTTTGATGATTTTATTTTTACCCCTATCATAGTCTTAATGTTCAGTTGCTTACGAATGTCCGTCTGTCTTGAAATTGCTTTGTATTTTTATGCAATACAAAAAGAATATAATTTTTAATTTGTTTTGGGCTTTGGGCAGCAGGTCAGTATGAGTTTGGAAAGAATTGAGTACTAGGAACACTGACGATATTCCAAGGCCAGTTACAATATATAAAGAATAACCAGCTGGACCAGAATCGATGTGAAGTTTCAAAGTGTCTAGGGATCAGCAACAGAATATACATAAGGGCTATGAGGCAGTTGAGATACTTACTATCCTATGGATGTCAGATAGAAGAACACTCTGAAATCCAAAACTGTTGTCTGGGACCTAATTTATTTCTATTTTGGGAAAGGATGAGATATTTTCAAACAGAAACCAGGGGCAAGGAGATTTACTAATGGAAATAGTTGTCTCTCTGGCCTCTGGATAGTTCCCCGATTCTTGTCATGCACTTCAGGAAATAGGCATTTGGCAGTGGGAATGCCTGGTCAGTCCATTGTGACAGCCCTGAGAAACAGATTTCCAAGGTCAATTCTTGTCTTTGTTCTGATTCAGTCTTTGGACTCACCTGAGGAGAATTCAGTTTAAGTCTTAGCAGTAACAGTAGCAGCAGCCAGCATGGCAGTAACTGGGGGATTATTTGCTTCAAAGATACACATATTCTTCAAATAAATCTGACCTCTTTCATTTACTTTCTTAAGAAGGAGTCCTGTCTTCAAATGTCACATATGTTATTATTTAAAAAAAAATTTTTTTTTTCATGATATACTTTGGGAAGCTAAGACAGAATGATTGTAAGTTCAAGTCTCCTCCTGGGGAGTTTAGCTGATTCGTATCAAAAGTTAAAATCTGCCTGCTAGTAGTAATGAGAAAAAAATGCAGAGCATACTTTCAACCATGAATAGTTTATTTCTATTTATTTTGAAGCGTTTATCAATCCGGAAGAAAGATGATGGAAAAGCCAAATCTGCTAAGCCTGCAGATAATGTAAGGGAACGTATCATCAGACGGGCAGCTCTTGAATTCGAAGACGGCATGTATGGTATCCTTCTAAAGACATTACTTTCGCTTTTCCTATGTTGATTAGGCTATAAGGTCTCCTCAGCAGCTGTTCACCTATAGTTCACAATAACTTTTAAAACCACTGAAAAGTGTTTGTGTGTGTGCAAAATGTGGCATGTAACCAGAGGATGCCAAAGTATATGAAATTGGAAACTTAATCAGTTTGCCTTTTTGAAACACAGTGGCAACCTAGAATTCACTTTTATATGTTCTAGTACACAGTGGATTTTAGTATAGTTTGGCATTGAATTAGAGGTTATTTGGAAGAGAGGTTACCCATAACGAAGGTTTCAAATCTCAGTATTACTAGTAATAATGAGATGTTTATTTTCTCTCATTCTGACATTTATACACTGATTGAAATATAAACTTCGATTTTTTAGCTAACCACTGTTTCCCTACATAAGGATCTTATACATGCATCCTTTTATGACCAGTGTTTCATAGAAATATTCCATGAATGATTGAAATTATGCTAAAAAAGAGTAGAGTAGTATGATTTATAATAAGTAGTATTTAGATTAAATGCATTTATTAGCAATAAGACTGTTTACCATTTTGCTAATTTTTAATACACTAAAACATTGAACTGTGCAGTAAAAATATAAATAATGTGCTATACATACTTGTTGAACTGTGGCTGCAGTAAAACTGTGAAGAGGTAGGGAATGAAGCACTGGAAGATTACAAAGTGTTTCTGTTTTGTGAACTTCCTTAGTCATTTAGACTGTGATCATGACTGAAAGAGGTTTATTTTTCTCCTTTTTTATAAACTTCCATCTCCTCATTTTTCTTTATTTTTGAATTTATATGTTGTGCTATTGTGCAAATTACTTGGGATTGAGAGTCATCATACTGCCTCTCATCTAACTCCTTCCTGAGCAAGATACATAGTTAACCTTGATTTAAATAAAAGTCATTAGGCTTTCTTTTCAGTCCTAATCAGTTGACTTACATTGATATTAAATACAGGTTATAACACAGATTTTTAGATAATAATGACTTTATTTTTTGTTTATTCTGTATGAAAAATATTGACCACTCACTTTATCTAAATTGTCCTTGCTTATTACTTATGCTTTTTCAACTCAAAGTACAGGGTTTTTCTCTTTTATATGTGATTTATTGAATATTTTTTAAAACTGACAAAATAATAATATGTAATGAAAGAATTGAGAGTAAAGATGGTTGGTAATTTGGGTTGTTCTTACCTGAAAATGCTGTTGGTAATGAAATTATTATCTCAGTGTGTTTTATGAATGACTGAGAAGTGAACTACAAAAACTACATTAGATGATGATTTGCCAAGAAAGGAATGATGTAGTGGTTGTTATACCTTCATGTCTGACTGTGTCCACAAGAAGTGACTTGAGTTATTAAGTTGTGCTTCTGGCCTTTGTAACTTTTTGTAGTTTATTATATGGTGGCATATATAAATTTAATTTTTCTGGCCTTGATTCATAGATTTCCCCACAAGTAGAACTTACCAGAGAGCCATCATTTTTGTATTAATTTTGGTGAAGTCTTCTGTGTGTAGTGACAGTTGTCAGCAATGTATACCTGTTTCAGGCAGTGTGAATATTTCTGTCTGCTCAGCCTGCCTGCCTTGAGGAGCAGACTTAAACACACAAAGGCATTTGAGTGTCTAAGAGAGCGAACCCTCGGCTAGCTCTTGGATGCCTTAACACAGCTACTTTTCACATGGTCTCAGTTGTCTTTTATAAAACATACTGACCCCACCTTCCTCTTTATGTCCAAAAAGATTCTGTTACCAATGAGTGTTACACAGTGACCCAAAGAAATTGATAAACTTTAGGGAAATATTTTGGTATCCTTGGAAAACTTGAAAATTTTAAAATGGTATCCTTTTTTGTAATATTATATCATCTATATTTTAACAAGAGTTTTGAATTAGTGAAAATAGATTTTAAACAAAGATCAAGCCATGTTTAATTATATATCAGTCATACATCATCTAAACTTGCTGAATACATTAATAAAAATCAAGAGAGCATTACACTTTCATTAAAATGACTTCTTGGGTGGCTTCTAAAGTCATTCCTTTAACATCATTGTGGGAAAAGGATACTATTATTCATAAAACTGACTGATTAGAGATTTTGTTTTTGGAAAATTAGAAAGTGGTGCCCAAAAGACGATTGGGGAAGGTATCCAATACTGATATTCACAACATATTTTCTGTAGAGATGACTTCTGTTCAAATTTATATGTGCAAAAGTTTATGACATTCTCTTTCTTAGATGTGCTGGCCCTTAACATCTTTTTATCTAGCTAATTTGGGCATAGGAATCCCTCTTCTGGCTAGCAACTTTATAAGCCCAAATATGACTGTTCATCTTCAAAGTGAAAATGGAGTCCTGGGTTTGGTAAGATGGAAATTAATATTTTCATTAATTATTAAGTATGGTGAGAGTTCCTTATAATTTGTCAATTACAGCATTTCTAATGTTTTATTTTCTAGTATACATTAACTATTAAAGCAATGAAATATAGAAAGTACATATATAATATGTAATATATAACTAAAGATCATGAGCATATTGTTGATACTGAATAATCAAAGTGACCATTTTCAAAGATACAAAAATGTGTGTCTGGATAAAAGCAGTTTTCTATTGATGACAGAAACTTCAGTTTTTTCAAGTACTTTAAAATTTGTCAATGAATGATCAACTCATTTCAGAGACAAGGGAAGTAACTATGTGGATTATCCTCAAAAAGGAAAATTCATACAAGTAGATGTAAAACAGTTGCCACTTCAGTTTATTTACGGGATAAATTGTTGATCTCTTAAAAGTATGTTAAAGTGATACAGCCAGCATGTCCTTATTCTTGGCTTCATTGTGTGCCCCTTTCTTTCCCTTTTCCCTTTCTCCTCTCTTTAATATATTTTATGTAGTGAAAATGCTTGCTGTATTCAGGTAAGTAAAGCTGCCTAATAAAAATATATACAGAATTGCCTGAGGATAGCTCAGTGGTAGAAAACTTGCCTCGCATGTGTGAGGCCCTGAATTTGATCCCTAGTGTGTACCCTCATACACATAAAAAGAAAAACCAAAACAAACAACAACAACAAAAAAGCAGAAAACTTTTTGAGAAGAGTTGTAAAGGGAACATAAAAATACCCATCCATGTAAAGAAAGGTAAGATTTAAGTGCTGCACACTGGACAAATGGAACTGCCTCTCCAAGTCCTTCTTCAAGGCAGCAAATGTATCTGTGTAGTTCATATCCAATGATCCTAGTGTAAGAGTTTAATGAATAACAATGACTACATAATATGTACTAAGTAATTCTTTGTTTTAGTGATATAACGTGTTGGATAACATAATGTTTCTTTCAAACTGCTAACTTTTAGAAAATGTTTATCTGCCCAGTCACAACTATTAATGTAGAAAAGACTAATCAATATTAGAAACATAACCATGAAAAAAATGAAATTATTTTTAAAAGGTTCATCTCAAGTCTTTGGATGATAACTTTCCTGGGATTATATGAAAGTTATTTACATTGAATTTTGGTATATGAATCAGGAAGACATTCTTTTAGTAACTGAATATGTGCTGTATTTGACAGGGTCCATATCCATTAGAACATGAAGCTGATGCAGACCTAATTAATGCAGGTAAAGTAATTTGTTGTATATTATTTCTCTAATTCAGTGCAATACAATAACAAGGATTTGGAATTAATTCTTTATCTTTTCCTAGACACTGCTCTACTATATTTATCATTGAGGATTGAGATAAGCCTTTTTCTGGTCACTTTTTGAAGTCTCCTCTCATTCAAGTATGGCTAAATTATAAAGGAAATGCAATTGAAGACACACTGATTAGAAGGGTTTTGATGGGTTAGTCTGAATCCTACCTATAAATAGGGAATACTCTAAAATGTTATTATTGAGAAAAATTAAAGAAAAGAACAATTTATAAAGGTACATGCAAGATTAAGGGAAACCAGGATTAAGGGAAACCCAGATTGGATAATGAAATCTCACAGATAGTTACTATCACCTATAGGCCTCAAGGGGCAGTGGTAGGAGAAGGTCACTTAACAGGTGCCGTAGACTTTGATAGGTAAATAGGAACCTTGGTGTGGTGTAAGGGTGTTCTCTGCTGGGTCTCTAGCCTGTGCCTTCCATTGGTCAGTCCCAAAGCAAAAGAGGTTAGCTGTCTCTGATGGAGAAAGTGGGAGTGAATCTGTGGCAGCAAAAAGAAAGTGTATGGCACTGGGATTTTTGTTGTAGGTGTTGTATACTGACAGACCTTTAGTTCTCATGGGAATGAGAGAGCATTCTCTAAATGCACATATGTGAATAAGGATGTACACTGTCACTAAAACCCAAGCACATGAGCAAGAGTAGAGTTTCTTATTTCTCTAGCTTTATCTTCTCCAGCTTCTATAATCATATGCTTGCCTTTTATTAGTAGTCTGTTGTTTGAATGGGACTTAGAGTTAATGTATTTGCACTCTACATGTATTTCCTCTATAGGAGGAAGAAAAGGTTGGGTTTTTAGCTCACTGTCATTAACTGATCTTGAGTCAGCACTGCCATCATATTGGCACTACAGCTCATCCTTGGAGTGGAACAATCCATACTTTCTGTTTTCTAACATACTTATCTGTGTTGGTTTTATCCTTCATACCCATCGAAGTGCGTTATTTTTACTTTACATTCAAAAATAGTGTACTTAAATCTCAGAAGTAATATGAGCTGAACATAAAGGCCAGCTGCCAAGTAGAATTGAGGTTTGATACTTGGAGTTTCTGGAAGTAATACAGCTTCTGGTTGAATAGTTGAATTAGTTAACACAACTCAACTCTGAAAAGCCCACTGTGATAAAGCAGTGACATTTAACCAAGAGTATAATTGAATTGTACTGTACCCTTTAGCAATAGTTCATTGATCTGTGAAAATATTTGCTGCTTGGTTTAATTAATTTAAGATGTTAGTGAGTTATTTGTAAAATGAATAACTCCATTTTCCAAATTTCAGGCTTCAGTTCATAAACCCACTTTCTTTAGAAAAGTAGTTAATCTGTTCAGTGACATTGTGAGACAGTAGGCATTTCTGATTCCATTGGGCTTAAAGGTATCTCATTCCTAATGAAGCCACCAGATTATATCACCACTTCTGAAATGCCACATAAAATCTTTAACTACTATACTTTGTAAAACAAGAATTCACTACTAATCAGAAGCCAAGCTGCAGATTGGTTTGGTAATATTGTAACTCTTTCATTGAATTCTTTTTTGAGATTTTGCTGCTTTTGATTTTGGAGCTGTATGAATCAAGGGTGAAATAATTTAAATTGGATAATCTAAAATAAAAATTTATGATTTTCTCTACTTCTGTGTGTTACCTGGAAGATCAGTCTGTCCTTTATGTTAATTTGAAAGAAATTTCTTTGAATGAATACGAAGTGTTACGTTTTTAAGTATAATCATTGTTTTAAAATGATAATAGAACTATTTCCAAGGAGTCTTCTCTCTAAAAGGAATTAATTAAACCAAATAATAGTATAAATTTATATAAAAATGAATTACCTCTGGGGCAGCATCATATCATTTAGAGGATATTCTTTCACATGTGTCTTACTATTTTACCCTCAAATGACACCTTGTTACACAGATTGGGAAGCTGAAGTCCAGGGAATTGAAGTGATTAGGCCCAGGTAACATTTAGGAACCCAACTACCAAAGGCTCCTGTTCCTCATATTTGGTCTCTTTCTTTATACACTGAGCTACATCTGTTGATGATCTGAGTTTTACTGAGATATAAGCAACAGTGTTTAGAATGTTTCATGGACCCTGTGGATATATGAGTTCCAAACTATAAATTTTCTAATATTGATGTACAATTTGCATTCTCTCTACTGCTGTTTCCTAATATTAATATATAATTAATATTAGATGACTTATCTTTATAAAAATTACTTTAGAAAGAATGTTTATAAATAGCCCCAGCCCCTTGTTATGTACCTTCTACTGCAGTGGCTTTCAATGAGAGAAGGATGTGATTTTGACCTTGAGGAGCTTTGACAAGAGTGGCATATGTCTTTATTATTGTGTCTGGGAAAAGAGGTGGTACTGGCTTGTAATAGGTAGAGAACAGAGATGTTCCTAAATATCCTACATACAGCCTCCCATAGTTATCCAGCTCCAAATGTCAGTAATGCTGAGAATTCTTCTCTAGAGGTATCTGTACCTTATCTGAAGAGTCACAGACCTGCTGGGTAAGGTACAAATTGGACAGCATTTGATATCTTTGTAATGACTACAGCCAACCTTTCCAGCTTTGTCTTTCACTATGCCTTACAAAGACGTTCTTGTCTACTCATACTGGACCATGACTCAGTTTTTCCTTAATTTGTGCCTTTGCTCTTGCTGGGCCCCTGACCAGTATTTGTTTTACTGTCTTTCCCATGTCCTTACTGGTTGTTTATTGTCAAAGTGCCTTGTGCCCATCCTTTGAGTTTTAGCCTTTTGGTCTTCCAGTTTCCCTGCAGCTCAAAAATTCCTCTTGAACTCACAACGTATTTAGTGTCTTTCTACTATATTTGTCTCATAGTTATTTGCCTATATTTATCTCTTTTACTGGTTAGTAAGTGCCTTTGCTTGGGGAAGTGTTTATCAAAGTCTTTAGAATCACAGCATCAGTATCACCAGAGACTTTATAGAAGGAAATTCTCAGCTCTATCAACACCTACTGAATTAGAAACTCTGAGAGGCTGGTGCAACAGCAGTCTGAATTTTTATAGCCCTCCAAGTGATTCTGATGGCTGCTTAACTTTGAGAACTAGTAATTTAGGGTAGCTGACTTTTGTTTGTAATACATCTCGAGGCTCATAATAGACATTTACTCATGACTGAGTGAATGACCTATTAAGTTATCATCCAAAAAGCCATAGTGACTGGAGCTGAGTCACTCTGTTGACCAAATGTTGTTAAAAGATTCAGATATACACAGAACAATAGGATTAGATGAATCAATTAAGAATAACCAAATAAAAGAATGGTCTTTCTTTTCATTGATTGTCTTACTGATTTTAGTTGTATTTTTGTAACCAAATATGGACGTTATATTAGAGAATCATGGAATCAGTGTTAGGATGTTTATTTTTATTTAGAAAGTAAATGTTTAAAAGTAATGACAGTATAACAATTAAAGCTAAAATTGCTGTATGATCCAGTAATTCCACTTCTATGTAATTGCCAAAGGAAATGAAATTGGTATGTCAAGGAGATACCCACCTGCCCTCTCATGCTTATTGCAGCACTATTCACAATAACCAAATATGGAAACAACCTAAGCATCCAACAGCTGATAAATGAACACAGGAAATGTCATACATATATACAGTAGAATTTTATCCAGCTTGAAAAACGATGAAATTCTGTCATTTGTGACAGCATGGATGAAACCAGTGACTTTTATAGTAAGTCAGAGCCAGCCAGAAATGTACATGTTCTCAGTTATATATAAGAGAAATGTTGATCTCACAGAATTTGAGAGTACAATGGTAGTCACCATTGTAGGGGGAGAGACGGATGGAGAAAGTTCGACCAGTGGGTATTAAGTTAAAGTTGGTAGGAGTGAGAAGTTCTGGTATGCTATTGCACAGTATGGTGGCCACAGAAAAGGGCAGTGTACTGTATATTACAGAGAACTAGAAATTATTTTCAATGTTTTTACCACAAAGAAATTGTAATTATTTAAGAGAGATATTTACCTTGATTTATATACACATATCATGACATGTATATATAAATGTAGCAAGATATCACAAGGTATCTTATAAATATACACAATTTTTATGTAGCCATTAAAATATTTAAATGTAAAATGCTTATAATTAATTTTACTTCAAAAGATGCACTTTATAAGATAGTATTATGTTTAACAAGACCCTGATAACCATTCTCTATAACTTATTTTCAGGCTCTTTAATATATGTATAGTTCATGAGTTACATAAGGAAAGGCTCTTCCTATGTATTATTAGCTAATGAGAGTATACTTTGAAAGTCAAAGTGGTTTAATATCTAGAAAACAAAGAATAGGAATTTTTAGGTTTTTCTCCTTTCTTGTTCTACCAGTTTTTCCTTGACACTCTAACCTCATAGGATTGGTGAGGATCTGATTTTTGTTGTATATAGCAATTGTTTAAGGATAAGGTTTAGTTGTACAGTGGCTGTTGCTAAATCAGAGCCCAGGCAGTCCAACTGTAAAACCCACATAAACAATTACTAAGTCTTATGGCACTTATCCCAGAAGTGGTAGTGGCATTGTACACTTGGAGAAAGGAATAATAATAATGACTGTAGTGAAAGCTCATGTTTGAATTTCCAAGCTGTGGTGCCTAGAAGTTGGTTATCATCTTTCAGGGGCATTGTTGAACAGTATTGGTGATAAAATATGCACAGGGCAGACAGTTCCTGCTGAGTTTCCTTATCCCCTGTGTTCCTGCACAACAATAGTTGCAATAGTAACTGCCAGTGTTTTTGAGAACCTGACACAGAAGAAGGATTTACATGTATTCTTTCAATCCACCAATGTCATGTACTGTCTCAAAGTCCCTTCTAACCTTAACAGAAAGTGTTTCCCAAAGCTTTTTAGTTTTAGGGTGCTTTCGAACATGTGAAAATATTTCCATAAGGTAGTATCAAACTCCTTTGGGGAATAAATATTTCAGTATTTAGTATGATATAAATAGACTTACTCTTTATCTTATTCATTGAGCTTACGTTGGGGAGAGTGTTAATCTAAGGGTTAGCTTTCAGCAAGACTTCAGAAGTTGGGGGTTAGCTTGGGGGCTAGTGCTGCTAATACTGCTTCTTGTCCTGATGTATCCTGAAGTATTTCTCTGTTCTGATCTTTGGAATCGTACCTTTCTTTCCTTTTTTTTGCCTGGCTTATGTTATACTGGGGCACTGGAATATGTATTCTCTGACAGTTGATTTACCTGTTGCCAGTTGGCCTGTGAGCATTGTTCTGGTTGAGACCAGAAGCTGGTCCTGGGTACCTGAAGCTCCAAACAGACAGGAAGTAGATCACATGACAGAGCAGGTTGGGGATGACTCAGGTGATACAGCTGTGTGCAGACTTCTGTTCTTTCCCAACTCTGAACGGTTATTATGAGATAATATTAAGGAATTATATTTTGATAATATTAAGGAATTATATTTTCATATTGCTTATTTATTTTTTCTCCCTAACATTATTGACATATAATTGTCCAAAAAAATTTGTATGTATTCAATGTGTGTGTGATGATTTTATATACACATACAATTATGAAATGAGTACTAAATTGAACTTATTTAACAGATGAATGATTCATGTGGCTACCATTTATTTCTTTGTGATGAGAACATTTAAGATTCACTTTCTAAGAAAATGTCAAATATGCTATACAGTATTATTAATAATCGAGCCATTGAATTGTACATTAGATCCTTAGAACATATGCATCTTTTATTTGAAAGTTGCTCATTGCAAATAAAATACTTTGAAACCACATGTACTGAAATAATATGAATATAAAAAAAGTTGTTCTGTGTCAAGGTTATAGCTCAGCGGCACTGCACCTGCCTGGCAAGCACAAGGTTGTGAGTTTAATCCTCAGTACTACCCCCAAATTGTTCTGATTATGTGAAGAAACAGAAAAGTATAAAATATGTGCAGTAATTCTTTAAAATAATAATGGAAGTAGACTTAACTTGAATATAATGTTTTTCATTGATAGTATTAAAATCTAATGGATAAATGATAAATATTTTGAGTTAAGGTAGTTAGAAATTTGGAAAAAATGAAGGACAAACTGAAGAGTATCTCCTGCATCATTCACTTCAAATTTGCATTTCTTCTTGTGTTCATGTTTATTGACTAGCTCTTTGCTTTAGTGACTTGTAGTACAATTGGGTTCTGAGTGGTGTCACCCACAAATCCTCCCTCATTCCTGTTAGCGCTTCGTAGTGACTTGTGAAGGAAATGGGAGTGGTGGGAGGTTGGACAGGTGTAGGCAATAGAGGTATGCATTGGCTCTAGAGAAGTTTGAAATGATAATGCACTAAAGGTCAGTCTGCTTTTTATGACCATCTTGCTGGGGCACTACTAAACAGTGTTGGTCACAAAATACCTGCCTTCAGAGCGTGCACAAATTCTCACTGGGTTCCCCTACCACTATGCCACTGCATTTTTGTAAAGATGTGTACATTTATGTCTATGGCGTTTCTCTTAGAAATCTAATAGTGTTTTCTTCCTTTTTCTTCCTGTGTGCATGTGTGTTTAGGCAAGGAAACAGTTACTGTTCTTCCAGGAGCCTCTTTTTTCTCCAGCGATGAATCATTTGCAATGATTAGAGGGTATGTAATAGTGGAGCCCCTCACGTTTCCCACGGTGTGGTATGAGCTGAGTCATCCACTGAGCACGTGAGCAGGACTCTGAGACATGGTCCCATTTTCCAGCCAAAAATCTATCACAGCTTAGTGGGCTGCAGGACACTATAAAATTATTCCTGCTAAAGGTTTGGCATTGAAATATCCAGCCCACCATTATGAAAAGAGCCCTCAATTGAATATATATCTTAGTGCCAATGCAATTGAAGAAAACACTTCCAAGGTCCATTCTGAAGATCCAGACATTGTCTTCAAATTGTGTGTTCTCTATAGCTAGTGCTTGCCTTCAAATTGAGTTATATGCTCTTTCATTGAAGGAAACAAACTCACTATGTGCATTTGGGCTGTTTGTGTCTTGTAACTATATAGGCTATATATTTTTAAAGAACTCTTAATGATTGTTTCTCTGTATCAACTTGGTGCTGATCTACTTAGAAGTCAGCTGTTGGGAGAGAAAAAGCAAATGTATTTTGGGGGTGTATAGAGCCATTTTAATGGCTGGCAGTTTTAAGCAATGCAGACATTAACTTTGTGACATTTTTATTTTTTACTTTTCCAGGGGACATGTTGATTTAACAATGCTAGGAGCAATGCAGGTTTCCAAATATGGTGACCTCGCCAATTGGATGATACCTGTAAGTAGACAGTTACTTTCTTTCTGAATTATGCTTGGGTTAGATTATTTTGAAATATTAAGAAAAAATTTCAAAGTGCTATGAGAATACAATATAATTATTAAAAATGAATAAATACTTTATATATATTTCTTATTTGAATCAAATTGTAGAAATTAGCAAGCTTTGAGAAATATTCAGCATTGTAAGTTTACTGCGTAGTTGGAACTAAAGCAAAGTCAAGGGCAAACATTTGCTTTAGAGAGTTGGAGAAAGTTTTTATTGTATATGTTAAGTGTAGCCTAGTGAAGATAAGATTTAAGGAACATTTATTGTAGATAAGCTTATCTACCTAGAAAGAATACTTAAGTTCATTAATTATATGTTAATTATATTTTTCTAATCCACAGTGTTTAAAGCCCTCTTTTAAATGATTACACAACCCCAAAGTCAGTCATATTGTCTTCTGTCATGAATGCAAAACCTGTGATGGTGAAATGTGATTGTGAAATTCTGAGTTTTTGTTTAATAGTGACCTATATCGCCCCTTATGGTGGTGCATGCCTGTGATCCTAGCACTCTGGAGGAAAGAGCTTGGACTACAAAGTGTGTTCAAGGCTAGCCTGAACTGCGTAGCAAAACTTTGTCTGAAAAAGACCAAAACAGAAAAAAAAATAGACCTAAATCAAGGAACAAACCTGTTAATGTTAGTGTTGGAAAAGGACCATGATCAGTAAGTTAGTATATGAGTGTTATCTATGACATTTAAGGCTGTTGATTTCTGATTATATGCATGGAAATGACAGTGGAAATGTGTCCATGTTTTTGAGTTTATTTTGGCTAGGAGCTAAGCTTTCTTTGTTCACATGTGAATTTAAGGATTTTGGTGTATTTCCCTGTAGTTCAGGTAACATAACTCTTAAGTAACTAAGGCTGGTGTTCTATAGTAGTTTTTTTTTAAAAATTTATTTTTTTCTAATAATTTTTTGAGGAAGTTAGATTAATCGAGTTGATAACAATATTACAGATAGTGATTTGCTTCTATTAATGTAGTTCTGCCTGAAAGATACATAGAGCTTTAGTAATTACCAAAGCCCTGATTTTTATATTTGTTGTGTGTTAAAATAACCATGCATTAAAAAAAATATCAATGTCTAGTTCCCAGCCCTGGAATCTAATCTAGGATGCAACATGGGTATGGATGACTAAAAAACAAAACAAAGCAGATGATTCTAATACGTGGCTAAGTTACAAAAGTACAGTTCATTTATATTTAAAATCTAAGGAATAAATATCATTTACCCATCAGGAGTAGAAAGTATTAGTAAATAATGTTATAATATTATTTGAGTTATAAAATTGTCAGTCATTCTAAATCAGCTATAGTTATAAGGATTGATAATCTTTGCAGGTTTCAAAGAAATCAGGAAGGGTTTCCTGAGCATCATTAAGTAAGTCAGATTGACAGTTTATTGGTTGCTTACAGGCATAGGAAAGCAGAATATATTTCTATTTTCAAATTTATGAAAAATGCAATATGGGATAACAGAAGGAGCATAAGAAAGCAAGTCTTGGGATTTTTTCTCACTGACTTTACCAGTGAGAAAGGTATAATCTTGAACATATTATTAAACTCTTTGTGTTAAAATATCCTCAGTGATAAAGTGAGGATTTGATTTTTCAGATGCCATATGGCTTTACTAATTTAATGGTTAAAGAATGGAAATAAATCTGGGTTGAAATCCTATTTTCATCACTTGCTAGCAATATAACTTAAGTCATTAATTGCTTTTCCTTATCTGTATAATGGGAAGGATATAGTTGTATCTGGTGTATAGGACTATATAAAGAAATTTATGAGGAAAATTGTAAAGTACTGATTACAGAGCTCAACACAGTGTATGGTAAATAAACATGTCAGTGTTTTGATAAATAAAGAAGAAGCTGAAGACCCTTGGCATAGAAAAGAATAGCATTAGTTGCTGGAGAAAAGTAATAGTACTGCAAATGTCTATTTCTCTGAGTTAGTATACTTTGGAATTCATGGCTTTCCAAAAGAAAAGTGGTGTGATGGTGCAGAATTTTGGGATATCATGGAGTGATATCAAAGGATAAAAAGTGTTTTTCAGTTTGGTTCCATTCTTTTGATAGTGTAAGTTGGAAGTGTCCTTTCTGATTGGCATTTTGTTGTTCATATATTAACTAGTAATTGCTTCCTAACGTTTTTGTGTGTGATTCATAGTATATAATATTATTCTTTAGGATTCACTCAGGACAGCTTCAGAGTCAAAATTACGAGGTTTCATTTGGAAGAGAGTTTTAATCTCAAGTCTACCCCTGGCAAATTATATGACCTGGAATTTTTCTTTTTTAGGATTAAGTGAGAAGAAAATGAAAGTAAACACTGAAGCACTCCAGAAATAGTGGCTATTATTTTCCTTTTTTTCAACATTTTCTCACTTAACATTTTAAAAAGGGAGCATTGGGCTAAAAATACATTGGCACAAGCAAGAGACTGTTACAGGAGCCAGTGTAACTTGTTTATCCTAAGTTCTCTTTGAGGATATATTTCTTGCTTTTGTTGGTAATAGATAAGATATATGCTACCATCCTTACATAGAGTCAGTAGAATCTTTCTATTTGTCCAAAAGATTTATGTTGATTTATAAAATGTAGATATATTTTTATTGCAAGATCTGATAGTCAAGAAGCTGAAAAATTCAACTTTATTATATCATTTTTCATTTACTTTATCTTTCACTGAGTTTAATAATGTTTCAGTGGTTGCATAAGCCCCGAGTCTCAGCATCATGGCATTACCATCACTCATTCAGTGTCAGATTGTAATAATCATTAAGCCATAAGACAAAGAAACAGTGTGGGCACTATTTGTCTTACCCTTTAATAGCTTCTTAGTATGCAGCATTGGTCCCACGGGCTTGGATATTTTTAAACAATTTTGTCCAAAGTATCCAAAAAGAGAAAATTTGACAAAATAGTATTTCACTCCTACAGGTTCTCTGCTTACTGAGAGGATGGTAAAAGCCAGGCAAGCTAAGAAAGATGAAATGACATACAGACCACAGAATCAACATTCAGATCTGCTCTGGTGCCTTCATAATGCCTATTTTTGGAAAACAGCTGGCATAAATTATTGACTTATGAAGGGAAGCAGATACTTCTGATCAGCCATGAAATCTAGTTATTGAACGCCTATAATAGCAGCCCATTGGACAGGACTGCTGTGCTAGAGTGGCGCTAAGAGACAAGGGACCTCTTACATGCGGAGAGGATTGAAATCAGGGGTTCCCAAGGCAAAAGAAAATAGGACATTTTTGATGTTTCCCCCCCCACATTTGTCCTTCTCTATGCGATTGAAAAGAATAAATACAAATTAATCTTGTACTCATGTATGCTACATATCTGAGTACATAAAATTGAGTCCTCTGTACATAATGCCTGTTTTAAAGAGCTGATCTATAGTCTTCCTAATTAAACACTCTGTTCAAGATTCAGTCAGTTTAGTTCCATCAGTTATGTAGTCCAATATTAAACCCATGAATATATAAATAGAAATATGTAGATTACCATCAGATGAAGATTGCACATCTACATACAGTTTTAACATAGTGCTTTAATATATTGGTTAGCATATTCTTCATTTAGATTTAATGCTCAGCAAAGTGCAAATCATGAGTAAGGAAAAAGGGCAGGCAAAAAATAGGTATATAATAGTGTGAGGCTTTTTCAGTTATTCAGTAGTGCTTTTTTCTTATTAATTCAACATAGTGAAAGCTCTAAGAACTTTTAGGTAGACAGACCTGTGATTAAATGCTGGTTCTTTCATTTCTTCATGATTATAATACATCATTTCCTCTTAGTGTAGCACTCATTTGTCAATGATAATAATATCTAACTCATTACAGCTTGTCCTGGGGATTAAGTTAATTCATTTAGGTAGCAGGTATGTATAACAGATATCTAAAGGTCATCCACTGTTGTAGCTTTTGTTGTGATTCAGCAGTTAACAAAATAGACAATATCCTCTTCACATGGAGATTGTCTGGCAGAGGTTGGCAAACTATGGCCTTTTACCAAATCTGGCCCACAGCCTGTTTTTGTAAATAAAGTTTTATTGAAACACAGCCATACATACTCATTTATATACTGGTTATGGCTACTTTTGTGCTGCAGCAGCAGAGCTGAGTAATTGGGATAGAGATTGCTATGACTTTAATGTAACCTCAAAGTTCGTATGTTGAAAACTTAATTCCCAATGCAGCCGTGTTAGGAGGCAGAGACTAGTAAGAGGCAAACAGGTCATGAGAACAGAGGGTTAATGAGTTACTGGAGGCCATGGATCAATGTCATCACTGTTAGTTATGTCACCAATAGACTTATTATAAATGTGATTTGCTATTACTACTCCCTTGTTTTAAGAGCTCTCTTGCTCTTTCACTTTCTGCCTTGGTATGATGCAGCAAGAAGAGCCTCTTAGCATGTGGCCCTTTGCTCCAGGACTTCCCAGTATCCAGAAGTGTACAAAATAAATATTTCTTCCTTGAAAATCACCCAGTTGGTTTTCTTTTATAGCAACACAAAACTGACTAAAATAAGATTGTGTGGCTTTCAAAGCAAAAAATACTTGCCATTTGGCCCTTTATAGAAAATCTTTGCCAACTCCTGCCTTAGACCATTGACTCAAAAACCGTTTTTTCCTACCATAGGAGAATAATGTTATAAATTTCTCTCTAAACACTGTATTAATGACTCTCCAAAAATATTTATACATTCTTTTTAGTCTTCAAAATATTTTCTTTTCTTCCTTGTTATTTTTCTGTGACACATTGGTTGTTCAGAAGTTTGTCAATCAATTTCCAAATATTTGATATTTTAAAACAATTTTTAGTTTTACTCTTTTTATGTTAGATGACATACTTTAGGTAGCTTTTATCCTTTTAAATGTGAGAAAATTGTTGTGCCCCAGAATACAGGATATTTTAGTGACTGTTTTATCTGTT